TGGGGGGGTTTTTCCCCCCCCCCCCCCCCCCCCCCCCCCCCGCCCCCCCCGTCCTCTCCCAATATCAATATTTCTCCTCTGCTTGTAACTCCGTCAGGGTCGTCCGCGACTTCGAGGAAGGAGTGCTCGACGCCCCGGCGGGGGCGGGTCTGCGGAAGCTGCTGGCGTCCAAGCTTGGCTGCGACTTGATGCGCGTGTCGAAGAAGTTCTCCGGCTGGGCGTGTGTCGGCAGGCGTGGGTTCCAGCCCGTGCGGCACCCTGACGGCAGAGCCTCGAGGGTGAGAGAGGCTGTCTTGTCCTCTTGATTCTGTGTTATGGAGGAACAGAGAAATAAAAGGGGAAGGGCGCAAGTCCGTTGTTCCTGGCTTCGGGTACTCACAGCAGTTGTTGTTTAATCTCTTGTTTTAGCCTTCTTATTGACCAGGTCCGCTCAGCGCCCACTCGGAGAGAGAGGGAGCGGGGCTGGGATTTTGATCCTCCTTCAAGCTACTTCAATACCCATCAACGACGCCAAACATCCATATCCAACGAAAGTTCAAAAAATATCCAAGAAGCGCTCAATACAACGTTCATGAAACACTCGTACAACGCTCATACGCTAGTTGCTCCATTACATCTGGCTGCTCAGTTATGAAGCCGTACAATAGTGTTGAATTCTCTGGAGTATAGAAAGTGAAATCAGGGGCTACCTGGATATCGGAATCGAGATGATTGTGGAAAAAGCTCGGAAGTACAACGGATGGATGGGGGGGGGGGTGCTCTATGTCGTGATAGATGCTTCCGTGGTCTTGGCACGTTTGCTCCACAGGCTCGCACTTTTTATATCTGTCGCTGCACACGCTCGTGTTACGAGATTGCAGTGTGGAGCTGTCCGACCACTGTGTGCGGGTTAGCCGCTCAATTTCAGTCCGACTCCTTCCTTATCCTTCCTTTCTCTCTCAGTCGCTCGCTATCGCTCACTCCCAGGCAACACCTGAGCAAGAGGGAACGCATGAACACCAAAAGCTGCTGTTATCAACTATTGTACCGCTACTTGCCCAATGTCGGAATACCGGGAATCTGGGCAGGTGGTAGGTGTATGTCTAGAAGATATACCCGCCCAGGTGGTATCTTGAGCCCAAGGGCCCAAATACCACAGCACTCATCGCCGAGAAACATGCAGGTAGAAACAAGTCCTAACACGATCTTCCGCCGACATCGGCAAGAGTAGCACTCCCGTCACACGGTCTTGTCTCTAACCCTCTCATCTCTGTCGCCCCGCGGGTTGTGTATTCAATTATATTGGGGCGCTGTTTGTTTGTCCAGGCGAAAGAGAGCATGTTCAAGATGGAACAAAGGTGGCTTAAAAGTTTGGCCTCGAAGTCGTCGAAACCCACCGGAAATGTCGCCATCAACGACGGCAGCAGCGGCATCGCCGCCATCAGCGTCTCCTCTACCCTGCCGCCCCCCCCCTCTACCCTGTCGTTGTCGTCCTCCCCCTCCTCCTTCTCCGCCCCCACGTCCTTACACAGGGGGAGTGAAACACATGATGATGTTTCGCGACACAGCAGCACTACTAGGCCCTGGTTTCTGGCGAGGGTTATCGCGTCGATCAGGAGCTGTGTTTCCCTG